TATATGTTCTATGTATTTATATTCTATGTTCATATATTTAATTTCTAATTTCCGTTTTTCTTTTCCAACCATTGATAAAATAATTCCCATATCATACAATATTCAGTTTGTTCTTTTTCTTTAATTGCCAGTGTTAATCTATTCATTTCTGCACATTCTAATATTTTCCTGATCACATTCTCTTCTATCGGAATCTTTTCACTTTTCCAGTTTTGAACAAATACTATTCTAGCTGCAGTTAATACACGAATGGTTAAATATGTCTTTTCCTTGCTATAACTTTCAGGTATTATCCCTAACAAAAATACTTCAGGTTTTAAGTCTATATGTTGCTTTATCATCTTTTCCAACCACGTATGTATTTTTTGTCCAACATCTCTTGGCTTCTACACATGTCCACCACATGTGGTAATATGTTCCGGGTATCTGGTGGCATTTCCAACACTTAGCCGATTTATCTTTGAACATCTTTGCCAGTCTTGCCAGCGCAAGATGCCATCTATATAAAACATCTTATATAAGTTTTCTTTATATGCTGTTGACATTGTTAATTTATCATTTCTATCCCAGGTTGATAAAGCAGGTTGATACCCCCTTTTTTAAAAAAAACAACCCAGAGAGTTCCTGCTGGGCTTTGCATCTTGCTGGTGGCAACTCTTGTTAATTTGCTTTCAGATCTTTGAAAGTTTTTTTTTCCAAAACAGGATCTTCTTCCAATGATGATATTCAGCCAAATTCCTCTTGGCTGTAGTTTTAACTCAGGCAGCTCATTGTTAAACATTAAGGAGAGCTTTCTTATCTCGCTGGAAGGCTATTTGAGTTGTGTGGCTTTGCAGCCATATTATAAATAAAAGGTTGGACTGAATTTGCATGTGGTTTTGCTAGCTGTCTGTGTGCTTGGAAAAAGGAGTGGGTGGGAAAAAACTCCTACTTGCCCCAGGGTGAGCTGGGCTGTGTTATTTACACACTACATAAGTACACCACAGTGGCCTCTCAAAGAAGAGCTGCAGTTGATAATGTAAAAAGCAGGCAAGCTAATCCCATTGGGAAGATTTATCCCTGCAGAAAAAGGAGAGCTGGACTGCTTTGAGGTTGGTGTTGCTTCTGAGAGGTGAGTTTCCCATGGAGCATGGCTCAAGAAGAGCTTCTTTACATCCGTGTTTCACAAAGTGGGCAACTTTTAAGGATGTGTGGACTTCAGTTCCCAGAATTCTGAGAGTTGGAGTCAACAAGTCTTAAAGTTGCCAAGGTTGGGAACCACGGATGTAGAGCATTTAGAATGAGTGCATAAAATAAAACACGGTAGATGTATGTGAAAGAGATAAATTAATTGATTAGGAAAGAAGGGAAGGAAGGGAGGGAGGGAGGGAGGGAGGGAGGAAGGAAGGAAGGAAGGAAGAAAAGAAAGGAGAGGAATGGAAAGGAA